AATGTTCTCTATGAAGTGTGTATACCCACTAACATTTAAAGCTTATCCCTGTCATTAAGAAGCTAAAAATTTTACTTCTACATATTAACTTTATTTCGCAATACTTTTTAAACTTTTATTAGAATATAATAAAAGGTATTTTAAAAAAAATGTGTTTTATTTTTATATATTACCTACTAGATTGTAAATATTTTATTGTCTACTATCCCGGGTTCCATGATATATTGTAATACTCGTTATTAGAATGTCTGGCAAAAATAAACAGTTTTTAAATGGAAAATGCATTTTTTGACATTTGTTGACAAAACACCGACAAAAAAAGGGTATGTAAAAACTTATGGACCTATCAACAGATTTGATGTCAAAACTGTAAATTTAAGCAAAACAGCTCCTAAATCTTTCGTTGGTAATTCATGCAAAATAAACAGTATTTCTCTAAACATTTTAATGCGATTCACAGAACAATGTTTATAAGTGAAAAATATTTCTCATCATAAGTTGCTACAAAAGCAAAGTAAAGAAATAAATTAAGGTCAGAATATGTAATGTGTGCGATTGCAGCTAATTTCAATAAGCATAGACTTCGATAGTTAGAGTGAAAAAAATCAAGCACATATTCTAGTTACTAAATGAATGCATAGGTGGGGGGGACACATGAATCACAGATTAAAATTATTAATGAGTAAATTATATTAAAGTTAGAATAACATTTTTAGTGACAGATGCAATAATCTTTTTTAATTTCCTTCACAAAAAGTACCTTTAAGGTGTTGATTTACTTTAAATATTATTTAAAGATATATATTCTTCTAAGTGTGTGCATGGGGAATAGGGTTCTAAGAAAATACTTTCTAGTTCAAGGGGTTCCGTGAGTCTAAAAAGTTTGAAAACCACTGTGCTAGGGCATGCGCTGTCCGGAAATTTAACTATCACATCTTGTATAACATCTACCATTTACCAATAAAGCTGGTTAAATCCCACCTTTTTTATAAAGTGTTCCTCAAACTGCAATGCTTATAATAATGAAGTAATACTTCTCTTTTTTTTTTTTTTTTTTTACAAAAATTTAATTTTTCATATACGTACACAAACACATTCCCCATATATACGCCCGCACATGGCTAATTTACGAATTTAATTTTGCATAGGTATTTCATTTACTAACAATATATTGTACAAATTCAAGTTATAAAAATAATAGAGAAGTACTAAAATATTCGAACAGTAAGGAAGTGGAAATAAAAAAAAAAAAACTAAACATTTTTTTTAGAAAGATATACAACATTACTTTTTTATTACTTAAAAATCTATTATAAAACTAATCCAACGTTTCCGACAAAAAATGTATTTCAACAAAAACAAAAAGAAAATAGGAATTAGATGCCAGGATTCGCAAAATCAGAAATATAACTTAAATGATCATGCAAGAAAAAAAAACTTATTCAGAAAACTTCCTTAAAGAAAAATATAATAAGAAAGCTGAAAGTTATAAGCTGCTTCAAACAATTCTGTTTCAAATCATTTGAGATCCAGAATATTATTTAAAATGAGCTTTGACAACAGGAATCAAATGTATTCCATTTTTTTTTAATTAATACATTTTATACAAATCTCTTTGCTACCAAGAAGCCTTCATTATAAGTTTTATTTCATACAACTACAACTCATTGCCAAAAAAAAATTACTTTTGAATGATTTTCAAACATATCGGCTAGCTTACATTCAATCCGTCTTAGCATTCTGTTTGTTTTTCAGTTTATTTAAGCTTTTCTCCGGTGTATTCCGTATTCTCTAAAAATTTTTTCAAAAAATCGAGAGGGCTGCTAATTACCTCCAGGTTTATTTTTGTAAAAAGATTAAATTCCATTGGCGTCTTATACATTCCTAATGATTTTTCTCCAACGTGATCCGTCTTTAAATTTTTTGGAATCATTGTGTATTTCTCCTGCAGATGTTAAAGTAACTGAATATTTTATTTTTAATTAAACTACGTTTTCGCTTTGAAATATATCATTTTTGAGATATTAGGACACTTTTGCAGGTAATTAACTTAATTTTTATTCTTTCTTGAATAAAACCGAAATAAATAAGGAGGTTTATCGTAAAAATTTAACATTCTCTTGCATTTTTGATATTAGAATTTATTTCACAACTTACATTTTCTATTATGCATTCAATAAAATCGCTATAAATGTTCCATTAAGTAATTTAAAAATTTTTAATGTTGGAGTTAATTTAAATTTCGAAAGTATATAATGAATACATCTTTTTTATGTGCTAAAGGTTTAATGAATCTAGTTGAAGATTACTTTAAGTCAGCGTTCCTCAAACTATGGGGCACCCCTCCCTAGAAGGTATAATATATCTACAAGTGGGAAGCGGACATATTGAAAATTCGGAAACAAAAGATTATTTCAATAAAATATTCATTTACTGAAAATAAACAAACAAATTAAATTCTGACGTATTAAAAAATACAGTACACACACAGTTATAATTCACTAATAAATATGTCAGTACTGCGCAATGTACTTTCTAATTATTTTAACAATACGAAGTTAGGGACAATTTTAATATATACCAATGAACCCATGAGTTTTTCACATCTAAAATTATATACACAAATTAACACTTATCTTGATAATTTTTGTACGTTTTATAAATAATCCCTTCACAACTGAATAAAAGTTACGTGATTGAATCCCCAATGTATCCGTTTTCAAGTTATGCGCAAGTATGTGCTGTACTGGGGGAAGGGAATAAATAAGGAAATCCCCTGACATTAAAAATCATTCTTAAAAACTGCCAAGGTCCTTTTATTGCATTTCAAAGCCTTTGAAACAATTTTATAGATATCAGTGCACAGAAAAAATTGTTGCTTTGAAAAGGGGCAGTTAACACTTTGGCTGAGCGAGGCCGTTTATATACCCCGCTAACTCTTAAAAGGTCAAAGTTTCGTATTATTGAATTTTAAACTTTGTTATTGTATCGAGGGAAGGGGGCGCGATGAATATTATGATTGAATATTGGTTTGCAAAAATTAAAAGCTTTGAGAAGCACTGCTTTAAGTAGCTAAATATAGTTAAATTCTCAATTTAATCTACAGTTAAAGGAATTCTTAAATTGTTTATTATACAATGCTACATAGAAAAACAGAAACTAAATATAGTGTTGCCACAAATTTTTTCGAAAACTTCTTGAATACTTCTTAAAATATTTATCTTTACTTCACATCTAAGAAACAGTTATATATTCAGAGTGCTTTTTATGGATTTTCACACATTCATTCTAATTTGAACATCATATGTTTAATTTGTTCAATTGTTCAGTTTATTTAAGTATGTAAAAAATTAGTTGCATTCCGTGAATCTTAAATTTGGCTTGTTACATAAAAAATTTCGATTGCAATTCGTGAAAATTCCTTTGATGATTGAAATGAAATTTTCCAGAACGCGGTTGGACTCTTGCATGTTAGTCCACGGAAGATATCTTATTTCCCTACTGCTACCCATAGAAAGATCCAGTAGAGGTGTTCCCCTATGCGCCACCTAGGGACACACCATCTAGGGGTCACAGGCTTCCGCCAAGGGAACCTGTTCTCTCAATCGGTCCTTCACAAGCAAAAATCGTTTTAAATCTCTTAGATACTTGTAACAAAAAGGAGTCAGCTACACTATCAAGAAGAAAAGCATTCCCTCCATCTAGGAGCTTTCGAATTCATTCAAAAACCAAGTAGTTTCCTACAGGGAGGGATCTCCTCACTCTGGCATTGATGAAGGTGGTGTTGGAATCAATTTTATTCACCCAAATGGTGAACATGAATCCTATAGAGAGTTTCAAAAGCATTATACTGCTCTCAGACTATAGATCTGAGCTACAGGTTATCCTGAAGAACAGATTTCAACTGACTCAGCCCTTATAAACGAAGTAGTAACAACCCTTAGAACTTGCACTTTGCACAGTATACCGGCCTACGTAGACATCCTTAGCATTTTTTGATCAGGCTTATAATTTATCCAAAAAGAGACTCGAAATCCCTCTAAACTTTCCAATAGCCTTAACCTTACTGATGCGGATGCAATAGCCAGATATAAACTCACCTCCCATCCACAGTTAAATGTACTTCTAGATCTTAGATGTAACTGCGTAATTTCAACTACCACAGCCAGAATACGTACAATTTACTTTAAAGGGACACTGTTCCGACATTCAACTTTCACCTGGTTATGTATTTAATTGTCCTTCTATATTAGCTAAACTCCACAACAAAGACTTAAAGGTCATGGACCCCCATCAACAGCTTTATTCGCCAGAGGTTGTCGACATACCAAGGACCATTGGGATGCCTTTGGTGCCATTTGATTTCTCAGCACTCTTTGTACAAGACAACAACAACCACAACGAAAATTCCTCTAAATATAGATACTAGCCATTATTAGCCCTTTCGCTAGATATTCCATGACAATCTTTTCTATAACCTATTATATTAAGCCTTCGATCGCATTCAAAAATATTTTTATAATCTTATGTTTCTCACGTCTGGATTTAAAAAGGACAGGATTAAATTTCTACAGCAAAACATATTATCAATTACTTCCCTGTAGACGTTACTCGGAGCCATTTTTCTCAAAACCCGTTCATCTCTACTCCAAAGAGAAAAAAAAGTGTGTGTATACTTATGTACGCACGTAAGAAGTTATACTTCTTTGGCGTAACAAGATTAAAATCTTTCTAAAAATCTTTAGCAGGGCAAGCTGGGCCAAAGCCAAAAGGCGGTCACGAGCTGAGTTGAACGATACTAATCTTCAGTCAATCGGATCAGCCAAACCTGAGATAATCACGATTTAAATAAATTTAAACACCCCAGCACTGGGAAAATCGAACCAATAACATGGGAAGGAGGGTCGAAAGCGGGAATGATCTGTCCCGTTCTGCATATTTCTAGACAAAGCATTTTTGTATCCGTTCCTACGGAACGCAAAGCAAAGGTTCGTTGACGCAAAGAAATAGCTCAGTGGTAGAGCATTCGACTGCAAATCGAGTGGTCCCTGGTTCAAATTCGGGAGTCTTCTTCTTCAGGAAAGTGAAGAGTAAATTATTTTTTTTAGGATTTTGAAGGCCGGAATGATCTGTCCCATTCTGTATATTTCTAGACAAATCATTTTCGTATCCGTTCCTACGGAACGCAAAGCAAAGGCTCTCAGACATGTGGTGTATAACTCAGTGGTAGAGCATTCGACTGCACATCGAGAAGTCCACAGTTCAAACCCAGGTGGACCCTTTTTCAGGGAAGTGAAGAGAAATAATTTTTTTGAGAATTTCGAAGGCGGCAATGATCCATCCCGTTCTGTATATATTTCTAGACAAAGCATTTTCGTATACGTTCCTACGGAACACAAAGCAAAGGTTCGCTGATGCGGGTGTATAGCTCAGTGGTAGACATTTCGGCTGCAGATCGAGAGGTTTCCGGTTCAAACCCGGGTGTCCCCTTCTTCAGGGAAGTGAAGGAAAATATTTTTCTGAGAATTGCGAAGACGTGAATGATTTGTCCCGTTCTGTAAAAATCCAGACAAAGGATTTTCGCATCCGTGACGGTGTGCGTCACATCCATGACGGGGTGTGCTCGCATTGTAAAAATTCACCCTCATCCTATTTCTCTAACGCCCCAAAAGAAGTATAACTTCAAAAATTTTCCGATTTAAATTCTGTTTGTGTTTAATAGTACAAAAATAAAATTTTTTGTCGATAACGCTCTCGTAATCCCCTTTGGGATTCGATTTCCAGAAAACTTATTAGCGTTTATTTACTCAACAAAAAAAATGAATGAAATGTAACGAATTCCAAGTCTTTGAGTCTAATATTACAACAAAATGATTTTTTTTATCAACAGTGATTGCCCCCCTCCACACCCGTTTGGTTTTGATTTTCTGAAAACTCGTTCTCACTGAATCTCTATTCAACAGCCGAAACAGGTTTTCAAAGTTCCAAGTTTATAAATTTAATAATTCAAAAATGAGATGTTTTCAGCTATAATGCCCCCGTCAGCTATAATGTCAGTTTTTTAAATAAAACACGGTTTATAGATCTCTAATAATTTTAAAAAAACTAGTTTTGCCATTTTTATAGTCTATAGACCTAATAGCTTCAGATATATCGTTATGAGAGAATGATAGAGTGAGTGAATTGATTTTCAAATTTATACTCGTATATACAGGGTGGTCCCAAATACATGGTATAAACTTTAAGGGTAGGAACAAGACATTGTAATAATTATTTATTGTATAGGAATGAATGGGTGCAAGCGACGCGGTGAGATACAAACACAAAAAATAAGAGAATAAAGGAAAGCCAAAGTATTTATTATGAACGACGTTGAGACAAGTGTAATCTTTACAACAACTGTTCATAACTGTTCAGCACATAAGCTATGACGCCAAACTGCTGCTCACATTGCTGTACTACTCACTGGCGGTCGGAGAAGATAGTCTGTAGGAAGCAAAGCTTCTACTTGCTGAGAATGAGAGGCGTAAGCAATTTTCTTTTCACACTCTACAAACGGTCTGATGTCTCACATTTACATGATGAGCAACAGCTGTTGTACTTGACACTGATCTATCAGCCACAACATTCAAGATGCTTTCTGACTTGCTTGGACTGCATGATGTGGATGTCTGATGACGTGGAACGAACGTGTTTCGCGAAGTTGACGATGTAACCGCTGGAAAATTCTGTGATCCGGCATTCATTGATCAGGAAACTACGCATGATACATTCGTAACGCAGAGCTATCGTTACTATATGCTCGGCCGTACATGTGATGCCTCTCTTAGTCTGCATTTTCGACATAGGTATAAAGTCTCTCATCATAGACATCAGCATAATTTTAAATGTCGTTTTCCCCTAGTGAGATGCAACATGCTGAACGATGGCTAGACATCTACTGCCCCCTACCGTTAAAGCCCCCAACTGATAATTATATTTCTCTTTTCTTTTATTTCACCTTTTTGCACCTCACTGCGTTACTTGCTCTTATACATTCCTATACATTAAAAATGCTTGTTACAATATCCTGTATCTAACTTTAAAGGTTGTACCATTAATTCGGAATCACCCTGTATACAGGGAGAAATCAAAACAACAGTAATGGATCATATACGTATCAAAATGAATGGAATTTTTAGTAATTATTTTATACAGCAAGAAGAGAAACAAGAAGGAGAGTAATTGACAGGTTAACCTTAACTGGTTTACGTAAATGCTAAACGTAACATGTTTAGCCTTATGTCTCAAAACACGCGTACATTTTAGAAATTACTATGTTCTGGGATTTAAAACTTGATTATGATGTTGCCATTTTCATTGATGCCAACCCTCTTTACAAATCAATTAGCTAAGTATATTTAATCTGCAGTTTTCCTCTTACTTAAAAATGTATCATACAAAAAGATCAATTAAGTGTAATGCATTATAAGTATATTCAGTATATATATTCTATAACTTATAAAAAATAGTTACAGTTGCAAATAACACTCGTTACAAAAAAATCATAAAATACATCATGTTTTATGAAATATATTCGCCATTATCAATAAGAATTGGTGATAAAATTAATGCAAGGAACTTCGAATGACACTTAAAACTTATTTTCATTTATTAGCATAAATTTAAATAAGAAAAAAATAATTCTAATAAAGGAATAATCCATTTTTATTACATAAAAAAATATTAAATTTCAAAAGAATGCTAGATTTGAGAAGAGATTGGTCTTCGGAATGGGACCTTGCGGCTGTACTTTTTTAACATTTTTATTAATGATTGAATAGATATGAGTCGTAGAACAACGTTAACATGATAGCGTGCAGTTCGGATATTGAGCGTTGTATTCTTCTGCTTCCAAAAAAGTTCGTTCAATCTATTTTTATTTATTTATTTGCTCACAATAATGACCGTTCAAGTAAGTGGAGTTTATCAGTTTTGTGTGAGGCCACATGTTGTTCTGAAAGCAGAAGAAAAGGGATATATTTCGATTGGTTTATTTTTGAACCAAGACGAGAAAATAACTTCTTCGACAACTGGCTTCATTAATTTGTCGTCGTAATAATAAGGCAAATTTAAGTTTAAGAAGATTTTAAGTTATGTACAATTCTGCCACTTTTAAACTCCTCCTCTCTCAATGACTGCATTAGGACAAAAATATTAAGTTTAAATGAGCCTCCAATAAGCTAATATGACTTTCTGAGAAAAAAATAAACAAAAGAGCAATGTAGAGTTTTTTAATTGATACTAAAAAGGGGGTGATGTAGATGTAAAAATAAATAATTTATTCAGGATTTTCTCTCTGTTTCTTAGTTAACAGGGAAATTCCACATGTAAATAACATATTTTTAAATTGTAGGACACACACACACAAGAACATTTAACTGATAAATAATTCATCAACTTTTTAAATCAATGCAAAACCTTTTAAATTTTTTTTATTAATTTTAAATGTTCTTTCCTTCCTTTTAAAACCTACAACCCGGGGGGCCTTTGGGCCCTTTCCCTAAAATTTCTTTCCCGGGCTGTTCTGTTCTTCGGGACTTTTAAATTTCCCTGACACCCAATATTTTTCAGACCTTTTTTTAGCAATCAACCCGCAGTTTTGGGTTTTCCCTCTTCTTCGAGTAATTTATGGTTTGGCCACAATGATCTTTTTTCTGACTCGATTTTCGTTCAATCAGATCAGGTGTCTCGGCCGTTTTAACCTTTGTATTGCAATGCATTCAACAATATATCTGGTACTTTAAAAAGGTTATAAATTTTTAAATTGATTATATACTTCTCCAAATATTGTCACATTTTAAAACTTAAAAAATATTTTAAGGTATCCGACTACGTTCGGAACCGTGATTTTGCAAAAGCGCATAAAAGTATAATTTTCATGATATTTAGTGTCACTTAGATTAGAATACATGTATACAATTGTTTTAAGAACATTTTGACAAAAAAATTTTTTTTGAAATACAATATTTTTTGCCAAAAAACTAACTTAGAATATTTTTTTTTTTTTCAAAATGTTCTCCTTTTGTGAAAAATACCTATTATGATAATATTTTTTCCTTATATGGGTCCGACCTCTCTACAGAGGCTCAACTAGAATTTTTTGAAAAATAACAGGTGGGTTTTTTCCATTTTACGACAACAAGGGAGCAATTTTAAGAAAAAACCCCATAATTTTTTTTTAATGGGTTTTAAAATCTAAAATAATGTAATTTTCAAAATCATAGTTGAGCCTCTGTAAAAAGTCGAATAAACAGGAAAAATATTATTATAATAGAAGCATTAATCACAAAAAGAACATTTGGAAAAAAAAATTTTTCTAAGTTAATTTTTTTCCAAAATATTGTATTTAAATAAATTTTTTAAATGTCCTTAAAAAAATTTTTACTTGTAGTTAACCAAAGGGGACACTAAATATCATGAAAATTATCATTTAGCCTTTTTTTGAAATCAAAGGGTTTGAAATATCCCGGGTACCTTAAGGACTTTCTTTCAAATATAGAAAGTCTCCTTGTCTATTTCTGTTATTGCCCCATTTCTGCAGCATGCGTGAGACCGGGCCTTATCAATGATTTGTAAATGTGTAGTTTTCTTTGTAGTCTTTCTTTTCTTTATGTAGTCTTTTTTTTTATGTAGTAGCAAATGAAATTAGATTTTAAATATTTTTTTCTATTCCATAGAAACATCTGCTGACCCCAGTTATTTTTTGCCTCTGGGGTTATTTTTAATGCGTTTTTTTAAAACTGTGGACCCCCCCTAGGGGGGCATAAAATCCCCCTACTAGGGGGGACTATCAAAATGTCAGAATAAAGATTTTTTTTAAAAGTTATATAATTTTGAAGGAAAAAACCCCAAATCCGACAAAAATATATATATGTTCACTTTTATTGTTATATGTAATTTAAGAAGACACAGTACGTTCAATTTGGGAAAAATCAAAAAAAATCAAATCAAATTTTTCTAGTCTTAATTATTTTTTATACACATTTCTATAACCTCAGAAAATTTGAAATCTCTAAATTTAAATAAAACCAAATTA